AAGCCGGGCCAACCTAAGATGGAGCCAACACTCATTTCGAACTAACCGATACTTGTCAAACATGCTGTTCGACGGAGCTGTTCAGTACGCTCGGCAACAAATAGACCGCTTCTTTAGCAGGCCCTTTCCCACGGAATCTATACACGGAGGCTGCGTTCTCGATTCCCTTCTTTTTACCAGCGTGATGTGTGGTGCAGGAATATCGACGAGGTGAGCCTTAAGTTTTTCTCAGGCTATGTGAACAGTGTCGGTTTCAGATATCACACAAGGCGATGACCTAGCTTTATCCCGCATCGCTTGAAAGTCCGCTGCCCAAAGGTTCGGATACCAACTGGTAGTAGCTTAGTAAGTCTTGATAAGTATACACTGGAAAGACGTGATTGCTAGCGCCAAGAGGCCAGTCGTAATTAATGTCATTTACAAGGTCAAGTGACTTAGCAAAAACAAGATCTAAAATGGACGGATGCTGACTTCACATGTACCTAGTGTGGAGGCCACGAAATGGTGCAGTGGTACCAGCAGCGTTAAGTACCGCAGTTCTGTATCAAACGATTCCAGAGCCGAACGGCAAGAGAGATCATCCCAACAAACCTCTGGGAGGTTCAAGTTTCCCAGCACCAGACACTTGTTCGCAGAGTGAGTGCGTATAAACTCAAGGATTCCATTTGAGGTGCTCATATGGCTTCTATACACTAACACGACCGCAACCTTTACCGAGGAAGCGCAAATCTAGACTCCGAGAATCTCAACAGATTTGTCGAGCGATTGAAAAACACTGGTCCTCAATACCTCGATGTGTTAGCTCACCTAAGGAGCTACACCACCCCCTTGCAGGACAATAAAGCGGTCAGCGCGGAACAGTGGGTAGCCAGGCAGGTATACTTCGTCACCTGTTATTTCCTCAGACAACCACGTTTCAGTGAAAGTAAGTATATCTGGACGAGACTTGTCTACGAGCAGACCCACCTCGCACATTCTGTTCCTCAGGCTACGCACGTTACTCAGTACTACTTGGAGGGTTTCGGCACGACCAGCTCTGAATCGTGCGCTAGTAGCATAGGTTCTGGCAGGGCGAAAAGGGCCAGCCGGCTGACCACCTGAAAACCCAAATGTTGTAACTTAAGACATTAACAATGTTCAAATCCATGCCTGTTCTTGCGGTCTTCTCTCGGTTGTCCATCACTTTCCCTTTTCTCTGAGGTCCGGGACTTCTTGGAGATCTGGGATTGGACTTAGGAACAGTTTTGGCCCAAGACGGACGCAACAACCCACATGGACTTATCTGGAGCATCGTCGAACTCCGAAAGGACCGAACTACAATCACCATAACCCTTGTCCAGTATGGAGAACTGGACATATCCTCATACTCCCATACATTCTACATCTGAAAAATCTGGACAGCGGAAAAGTTGAACTTTTGCTCACCTGGACTTACAACAAGATGAATAATCACGAGGTCCCTCTCTTCCACCGACCTCAAAAACAATGGCGACCCCGATCAAATTACCTGTCCAACTAACAGAGGAAATTGGAAGCCATTACTCAGCGAAAAACCGAAGGTGAAACCAGTCGTCAAGCGGCTTTGCCAGTTCAACATTAATGCTCAAAGTGCTTTACGGCAGTGTTGCAGGACGTGGTGGGTTTTCGCCTGGCAAGCGTTCTCCCTATAAAAAGCCACAAATGTCTGTTTAACAACACTGCGACGTGGCGGATGTGACTCGCCGCTGAATAAAGTCACTGCCCACAACTACATACTGGCAAGTCGACTAGCCTCACATAGTAACTCTTCCCGACACTGTTTCAACTACGCACAAAGGAACCCGATGTATCGTCGTGATCCACACAACTGTCTTTAAAGCTTGATCATGCCTGCGTTGGTGTGTCTCTATGACACTGAGAATAAACTATTTATTTATTTATTTATCAATCGGAGACCATGCTCGCCAGCTGCACGCCGGGCTTACAGGTCTCTGAGGGTTTCCTTTAACTTTAACCTATCCGCTAACGGAAGGTCTGGTTGTACACTGACGTTGGTACCTTTGAGCTTGAAGGCAAATCCCAGTAAGACCCTGCGCTCTTGTGGGGTGCAGAGGACCACCCTAAGCAGACATGGTCTAGGATTTGGTATTCTAGTACATCCTTTATACCGTTCCGAAGCCATGTTAAAGTTGTAAGTAGATAACCTACAATGTTTCTTACCGTGTTAGTAGTATATGTATCTCACCAGGCTGCCAAAGTTGTAATAATCCTGCAAACAGATAATCAGGATTAAAAGATTTTGAAAGCGACGAAGGTGTGGGGTAATGTGATGCAAATTCCAAGTTGTTCTGACGAGTAATCATGGTTCTACTAACTGCACATGGATTAAGGTTCGTGGACTCTGTGAGAACACGTTGGAATGTCGTTCACCTCTGAGTAATGGCGGTTAATGGTACGGAAGATGCCATTGAGGTCAATAGGTTGTTGAAAAATTAGGCACCATTCAAAGAATTTAAAAATAAATAGATTAAAGAGACATGCATAAAACACGTCCTAGGCACGCTGTCTATTTAGGTTACCTTGTTTTGTTGCACCAACGTTGCTTGGCTTCATTTGTAAAATCAGCTGATTATTCCCTGGTGTTCCTTTGTTCCTCTGGTCGGTCTCATCTAAGTGGTTGTGCTCGTTGTTAGTCCATCAACACGTTTTCTTTAGCCCTTAGCTTCATTGTGTTGTGAAGTATCTTGCTGCCTTTGCAAGGAGGCTTTGTTTTCATCGTCTGTCATCCGTAGATCCTAAACAAAACTACTTCCCCATACATTTTCGAGCAGATGCATTGCGTTTTACCTGATAAGTACCGGTTCTGTGTTCAAACCTATTTTCATGGATCAGGCATGCTATTTTCTGGTTCGGTTCAGGTTTATTGGGTTGTAAAAGCCAGGAAACGTCGACATTGGATGATAGAGAGCGGAAGGAAGATCCTTTGTCATCTTTACTTCTCGGTCATTGCAGCTCAAGGTTCCGCAGAGGTCCGCTGTAGCTGTCTTAGAGTTAACAGAATCCCAGCAAACAGGTGAGAATCCAACAGGTTTTTGAAACGTTCCTCTGTCAGCATCAACGATAGGCTCCGGCAACTGATTCCAGTCATTTACTACACGAGTTGATGAAGCCAGATTGAGCCGCACACGGAGATTTTTCGGTTTGAACAGCTTCGAGCCTCATGTCGAACTCTCATTTTTGAGGTGGGAGAAGTCCTGTAACTCGTAACCTTGTTCTCTGAGAATCGAGTGAATATCAAAACTCCGCGGTGACGGCGGTAACCTAGAGAGAACAAGTTAAGTCGTTGAACTTGGAGTAGATACGACAGGTCTCACAACTCAGGGACGGACTCGGATCCACGCCGTTGAACCTTCTTTATCATATCACGTTCGGATTTGGTGAGAGGGTAGGCGGCGAGTAGCCCGTATTCGAGAATCGGTAACTGGCGCGTGTGTCGTCCCCGTATTTCAGATGGCGGACCCGTTCCGCTTCCCTGCCGCGCCTCCGTGTCGGTTTATGCAACGGATCGCGTATGTCCCACTGAAATACCAAGCCGTGGCGCCGCTCGCCTTGCACGCGTCGGGGACGCCACTGCCGTGGGCCTCTGTACGCGGGCCCCCGTCCGTCGGAATCTGTGCCGGGCAGCTGGGCGTGGAGCCACTCCACTGGAGCCCGTGTGCTGCGTCCGGTGGGGGCACGGCGTCGTGCTGGGCCGCCCTCCGCGGGCCGTGTGGCGGTTGCCCCTCCGAAGGAGGGATTTAATACTGTGCATGCCTGGCTGCCGTGTTTGCGCGCCGCTATGTCACAGGAGCCCAGTTCTAGTTATGTGGTTATACGGCCTTCCGCCGGGTGGACGTCGCGAGACTGGTCGCCGTGCGAGGGGCCGGTGACAATCCCCATGGGGTTGCCCAGCCCTGGCGCTCCCGGTAACGAGCCGGAGGGGTGGGTTGGAGGTCTGTCTAGGGGGCTGTGGATAGCGTATGTTGGTGGAGAACATAATATCAGGGAGCTACCCGGCGTTTGGTATGTTGGCGTACAGGTGGCGGTGCGCGCGGTTATCGGTGAGAGCGTCGTGGCGCACGGGGTCAGCCGCGAGTGGCGTGTTAGCGCCGTATTGTGTGGGCGTCGGTGGCGGGCTGTACCCGTTGTGCGTAGTTCCATTGCGGGCCTGCGTAGGTTGATGGTCCCGTAAACACACTCGGGCGCGCGTGGGCGGGAATAGGGCAAGTGCGTATGTAGCGCTGTTTGGGCTATTAGTTGCGCGGCAGGGGCGCGTCGGCGTCGCCGGCGGCCGGCGCCGGGAAGGCGAGTTGAGGCGGCGTTGCAGGGTCTGCTATTTGTTTGGGGCGTCGGAAGGGGGCAGGCGTCAGCGCCGCGGGGGGAGCGCGGTTGCACGCTGTGGCGGCTGGGGTTGCGGCGCGAGTAAGCGCTTCGCTGGCGACAAGGTGCGTCGCGCAATGCGTCGGGTGCCCGTCGGGTTTGTCCTGCGAGGACTGATGGGATGGGCGTGGGTTTTTCGTACGTTCGGCTGCGATGATGCGCCCAGCTTCTATGAATTGTGGGGGGGGGCGGTTGCTGTTTTTGGTTTTTTGGGTCACGTGCGCGGGGCGTGTAGTGGGGTAGGTTTTGGAGCCGAGGACTGGCCTTTGGTGGCCCTGGTGCGTCCAGGTGTGTCTTAGAGTGTGCCGCTGCGGCGGGGAAAGGGCATAAGTGCGCCTCGTCTACGTCGGCAGTAATGGTTGAATTTAGAGTAACCGCGCTGCGGGGGCGTGTCGACGTGGATTCGTTGCCCGCGTTTCGGGGGTTGTGATGAACTGATTGCTAGCCGTAGTTCCTTTAGGGCTTACTGGAGCGATGGAGCGGGTGAGGCGCGAGCGGTTGTGGAAGGTAGTTCTGATGGCCGCGCGCTTGTAAGGGGTTGGGTGTAGGCGTGTTGAGCGTTTTCAATTGCGATGTTCCTAGCAGCGCGTTTGCTGGCGGGTTTACGGGCCTTCGGCTCGGGGCGTCCTTCGGGCGAGGCTGCTTTGTGGCGTGAGCGTTAGTTGGTAATATAAGAAGGATAGGAGTGTTCGGTGGATAGGACTGTGGGCAATGTAATGTGGCATTGCGTGCGTATCGCTTGCTAGGGCTGGGGCGCCGCAGGGGGACGCCGTGCTGTGGGGCGATAGGTCAATTGCGGGGGGCAGCGGGAAGAGTGCTCGCTCCTGTCCCGAGGTGCGGTGTCGACTGCATGTACGGATGACTCTGAGGGCGTGAGTTAATTCAATGTGGCGTCGCAGCTGTTTGCGGGTGCGTTTAAGTGTGTGTCGGGTGGGATGATGTGGTGGCAGCATGCTTGGGTGGCCGTGCGGGTGATGCTGCGCCAGCCTGTTTTCACCTGATATGCGGCGCGCGGCGGTGAGATGGCGGAGGTCTGGGCCACCGTTGGATGGCCCTGTTGCCTCGCGGTTCCGGGTTGAAGCCGGTGCGCCCCATCGTTTCCATTGATTAGGGAGGCTTGGGGGCGCCCGGCATGACGGGGTATCCATTAAGTTGAGGGGGGTGTTATGGGTGGGGGCGGAGGCGGGGGCGTGTGAACCCACAGCTTGATTTTTATGCTTGAAATTGTGTTGGTGGACAGCTGTTCGCCCAGAATATTGCAGTGCGTTGAGGTGTCGGGTGCGCTTGTAGTTCGCGGAGAAGGGGGTAGCTGCTTGAGGGGGGAGCGTGCCGCATTGAGCAGCGTGGCGGGACAGCATAGCAGTCCGGGGCGGGTTTTGTTTTGGTGGCCTGGCAGAAATGTTGGTGGTGCTGAACGCCTTAGCGTTGGCAGCGATGTTGTGTGGGCGTTGGTGTGCGCTTGTGCGATGGGAGGGCCGCGTGCTGAGATAGGCCTGGTCGCGTAGGGTAAAGTATGTGCCGTGGCCGCGGGGTGGTTGGATGGTGCTTGGTGGCGTGGCCAAGTGTGGGGCCGTTTGTAGAGAGGTTTGGGAATTAATTATGGGGGTGGGGCGGGGCCCTGGGGGGTGCGGGGTGGTTTTTATGCGCGAGCGTGATAGGAAAGGTGTGGTATATTGAGCGGTCGTCGTTCTATTGTTGCGGGCTTTTGTTTTGCTTTCGGTTGATGGGTGGGGTATGCATGTAGTGCGGACAATAATAGATGGTGCATTCTTTTGATCTGCAGCTCGAGTGATGGCCGTGGGGGGACCCGACGTGGTTGACGGGGCGGTTGTGCTTGGGGCTGCGGGTGGGGGCGCGTGGTTGGCCTTGCAGCGCACCTGGGTGTAGGTCCGGGGCATTCCGGCGGGTTGGGGGGGCTGTGTCCGTCCGCGCGGGCCCGTGGCGGAGTGTGACGGGGCGGAGGACCGTGGGGGGGGACGGGAGAAGGGCCGAGGACGTGTGCCGCGTATCGCCAGTTGTGGCGAGTGGGTGTGCCGCCGCGGTCGGTCCGTGCGGCGTGGGGGGGGGTGCGACGGGCGGAATCGGCGGTCGCGTTTACCGTGTGTCGGGCGCGCGTGCCCGCCGCGGTGGGTGCTGCGGAGAGGGAGTAGGGTCGGAGGCTGAGTTGTGGTGGGCGGGGGCGGGACCTCACGTGGGGTTCGAGTTCTCCGTCGTAACACAGCCACCCCGCACGTCTCCTCTCGCAGCGTGCCACCGCGGCTGGCCGCCAGCGGGCCTTCGGTGACGTACAGCCGCGTAACCCGCGCCCGCACGTTTGCCCGCACGCGATCTCGCCATGCTCGCGGATCCCCGTTCGCTCCCCGACGCCGGAAGGTCGCGGGTCGCGTACATGCGAGCCAAAGAAGAGTAGGAAAAGCCTCGTGGTCGGGAGAGAAAACCCTCTACGTATAGAATGGGACATCCTGTGGGCCGCAGCGACCCTCTTCTGGGTTGTCTTGAATAGACTCGATTTCTGAAGGCCGACGTCAGTGGCCTTTGTGCTGTGAGTTTCTTTGTCCCACCCCGTCCCTCTTAGCCTTCCCCTCTAACCACGATCTCATTATTTAGCTTTATATAATTTTGCGTGGTATTTTTTTTGATGAACAGTAGCCATCATCAGCAGCAGCAGCAGTACATCAGCCATTTGAACTGATGCTTCGCTGCCATACAACCATGAGGACCTATGAAACAAAGAATAAGAGGGGGAGAAGGGGGACTTACCTGAAAACCTTAATGCCCTAAGCAAACATTCTGGGTCAAGGCGCCTACACCTTGTGTAGACAACATACCGTCACAAACAGCTGGCTATCGGGCAAAGATAAGGCGGCATCGGCGAGACAGCTTCCTTGCGGCTTCCACTGCCACGCGTCATAATCAGCCATTACCCCGCAGATAACTCAGCACCAAACATACTTTAAACAGGCAATCCAATTAGGAGACGGCAGCAGACGAGCCACTGGTGTCGGCTGCGAGCCATGTCCTGCAAAGTCTCGAGCCAAGCACAAGGTGAGTCACGTGGACTCCAACCCGGAAGGCGAGACGGACCAACGGCACCCAGTTTGGTTGTCAGTGACTTCATTTCCCGCTGCCAAGTCAACTTCTGTCCACCTCGAGCCTTGCGCCATCCTACACCTGGTAGACTGAACAAGGCCCTCCTAGGTAAGCGGTGACCAGGCATACGTAGCACGTGCCCGAACCAACGCGACTTATTCAGTGCTATCTGTTGTTCTAGGGAGCTAGCATGATTATCACTACCTAGTACTCGCCTAAGCACATCATTGTTGGTGATACGCTGGTGCCATCCGACGCCAGCAATGCTTCGCAGACTACGATGATCAAAGACTTGAAGGCGCCTCAGATCTTCAGACCGAAGGGGCCAAGTCTCACTACCATAGAGCAGAACGGCCCTCACTATAGCCTTGTATACACGACCTTTTAGACGGAGGGAAACTCCCTTCTGTCGCCAAAGATGCCGTAGGTTCAAGAAGGTAGCTCTGGCTTTTGCAGTGCATGAGCTCACGTCAGTTTCTATGCGCCCATCATTGCTGATGCAGCTGCCAAGATAAGTGAAATGATCAACCACCTCGATTTCCTCGTTAGGCAAGCGTCAAGGGGTCATCAGGTGGTTGGTGGTCCTGCAGCAACACTGCACTTTGAAGGTGCGAAGTGCATACCAAATAATGGGACCCCTCTGGACAGGCTATTCAGGGTTGATTGTGCCGCCGCAAAATCGTCGAAAAGCATAACGATATCGTCCGCATAATCTAGGTCAACTATCCTTTCACCAGGCAGCACTTCAACGCCTACATCGTTGGATTCCGCAAGGGAACACTCTGTGATAGAATCCACGACGAAATTGAACTAAAACGGGGAAATCGGACAACCCTGACGAACACCACTTGTAGTCGAAAAGCTATCCGATAGGCCACCGTGGACCCTGACGTGGCCTGTAGTGTTCGAGTATAGAGCACGAAGGATGTCCACATATTTCGTGGAAACACATTTCCGCGCAAGTATTTCGAACAGAATCGATCGATCGACTGAATCGAAGACACTCTTGAGATCGAGGAACACAGCTATTGTCGGTCTGCGGTATGCGTGGCGCTGCTCTCGCACCTGCCGCAAAGTGAATATATGGTCTATACAGCCACGTCCTGGGCGAAAACCGGCCTGCTTTTCCCTAATTCGGGATTCCGGTTCCACAGTAAGGCGGCGAACGAGAATCGATGCCAGTAATTTTGTCACAACTGTGGTTAAGCTTTTACCCCTGTGGTTAGAACAGTCTGTGCGACTGCCCTTTTAGTATATTCCGCTTAGATCGATTCACTTCATA